CAGTGTATAAGCGAATATCTAATGGAACAGTCATTAAAATGCTGAATGTAATACACCAATCCCATCAGTTGTCATGCATTCATCTTGAATGGTAATATAATGATTATTTTGATTCTGCCGACTGAAAATTTGGTGAGATTTAATTAAAATATATGAAGTATCATTGACAAATGTATGCTTGTCCTCTAGAATATTAAAGTGATGGCTTTAATTTTAAATTTCACACACAAAAGTTTAAAATGGGATAGGCAATACAAATTATCTTATTTTAATGTTCATATGGGGGTCAAAATTTGTATTTAAAATTTTTTAACTTTAAAACATAACATTTCCCAACTTCTGTCTAAGCTATTTTGAAGACCTTTAAAACAATTTAGTATATTGAAGTTTTGTTTGGTCAAAATTTAAGGCGAGGGCGAGGTAAAAAAATGTGGTGTTTTGGTGTTTTTTATTAAGAATTATAAAAAAACCTCAAATCATCCCGTTCTTAAACGCTCACTCTCGCTTTAATTTTTGGAAAAAAAAAATTATGATTAAAGTATCAAATTGCTGGAAATTTCACAAAGATTTCTAGACTATCAGTTATATTTCCTTTGGGCGGATAGGATTCGCCCCATTTCGCATACTAATGTATTTCTTATGGGAGAAGTATTTTAATAAGATAAGTAATAACTCGTAATCTGAAAACTATATACTTTTCTTGTAGAAAATTTTATCTTCTCAATTTTATAATTTAGTATAGTATACAAAAAGTTGATAGTTTTCGAGATATAATAAATAATCCAAAATGCGTACCTTTACCCCCCCCCCCCTCTTTCCCCCACCACCCCGGCTCACCACCTAGGAGTCAGGACTTTTGGTATGTTAACACCCTAAGCCCCCTGAACAAGTTTCTGAAGGAATCGCTCAGTTACCTGCTCATGCACTCTACACCTCATTCCTTGACTGGACTAATGTTCCTATGGTGAAATGTGTTTTTCTTGACCTAAGCAATAACGCTATACTCTATATGGATTTAACCATATGTTTTTATTTACTTACTTTACTCATGATGTCTTGTATTTTTGTCTTTATTAAAAACAGTTTAGTTTTTTCTTTATTTTTTATTTATTCATTTCAAAGGCAATCGCCATTTTACAAAATAATACATGTGATAAGACATACATGCAACAAGATACAAAATACATAAGAAAACATTATATGGATACGTAAGAAATTGTGGTGGTGGTGGTGAACAGCTTTGGTGAAATTACAACAGTTACAACACTGTGAATAAGTTAATAACAATAACAACTACCTGTGTAAATAATTATCAACAATAAGCAATTCATTAAATGGACGAAACAAAATAAGGTTAAATTTATAAATGATAAATGTGCTTCTGGTTTATTATGAAACCCTCTTAACCAGTTTTTCACCCAACTCGTTGTGGACCACATATTCGATGCTGAGATCTAACTGTAGATTAACTGTTTCACTATATTATTCAGTTGTCCAAAAAAATATGCAATATTTCCCTTATTGTACCTGATACATTATTTATGGTGAGAATGCTGCTAGCAGAACCTATTCCCTGAAAAATGTAACGTATTTTTTTAACGAAGTTTTACAAACATGTAATTACAGGAAATCACCTGATTATACAATAAGTCGTTGCATCACTTTCCTTTCATTGGCACTGACAATAAACGGAAACATAACCTCTCTAGGAAGTTATGAGTAGTGATTGATAGTAATTAAAACCCAGATTGTTAGTAATAAAAAAACGGTCGTAGGTAAAGTAGTGTACGCAACTCGCGTTAATAGTCTTACGACACTCGTAGAAGTTTTTAAGGCACTCGCCAAGGCTCGTGCCTTAAAGTTTCTACTCGTGTCGTAAAGGCTAACTTAACGCAATCGTTGCGTAAACTACTATTACACAATGTAAAAGGAGTACATGTTTAAATGGAGAAAAGTGGTCATACAATATGGAAAGAGTATATTTATCTGTTATTTATTTATCAAATTACTAACAAATAAGGTACCAATGAAAAGTACATAAAATCTTTTGACTTTTTTGTATCTTGTGATTTTTTATAAAGTTTTCATGATATTTGTCATCACATGTTTTAAAAGGCCACCATTTTGAAACCGATGATGACTGTTTGGTATAAGAAAAAATGGTCTTAATAAGGTATATAATTTTGCAAAATCTCAACGCTCTATCTCAGACTATTTAGGAGTTATTATTTTATTTTTTATAAAAAACACATAAACACAGACAGACGGTATTATTTTATATTGACAGTTACTAGTATTATTGTATATTGATTTAACCAGACAATGCTCAAACTTACTTATTTACTTACTTTACTCATGATGTCTTGTATTTTTGTCTTTATTAAAAACAGTTTAGTTTCTTTCTTTATTTTTTATTTATTCATTTCAACGGCATTCGCCATTTTACAAAATAATACATGTGATAAGACATACATGCAACAAGATACAAAATACATAAGAAAACATTATATGCATACGTAAGAAATTGTAGTGGTGGAAGGTGGTGAACAGTTCTGGCGAAATTACAACAGTTTCAACACTGTGAATAAATGAATAACAATAACAACTACCTGTGTAAATAATTATCAACAATAACAATCAGTGTAAATATGTATAAAAAATGACAACATTGTAAATAATTTACAGCAATAAATTTACTAGACACAACAATAATAAACTATGACAGTAGGTAGCAACCTAATAAAATATGACAAAAGCTAACGTAACATATAAAGCAAACAAAAGTATGGCTCTGGGGGAAAAATCTTGTTGGTAGAATGCCAACAACAATGACAATTCAGCAATTCACACTGTTGAGCGTGTGGTCCTTAAAAGGCACCACCAAGGAACTACGAGACCACAAATCCCACCACGGGATACGAACCAGCACTCCCCGGCGTCTTATAGATTGAACTTGTATCTAGCATGTGGCCCTTTAGAGACAACACCAGACAACCAACACTGATAGAGAGTGGAGAGGTGTCAGAAGAGCAGCCTCTGGACATCACGTCTGAAAGATGCTGGTGATGGCCCAAAGAGGTCTAGGTGTGGGCAAACGTCTTTGCTAAGTCTCAGCAGTCTGGAGATTCCGTGGTTAAGGGTATAATTCGTGGGCTGAGATCTTCTTTTGAAGACAGCTCTGGATCGGGTTCACCTGGGAGCGTTTAAGTCCACTTCGTTCAAGAGTTCGGGGAAGTCAATGATCCCATTTGCCAGTTTGAGAAGGAAGACAATGTCGTTGACTTGTCGTCTCAGGGGAAGCGGTTGAAGGCCGAACTGCACCTCGAGAGCTGCTACAGGAACGTCGATGAAAGGAAACCCGAGTTTTAGACCCAGTAGTTTGAGAAATCGTGTTTGAATCCTGTTTAAGATTTCAATATGTCCAGTTTGATAAGGATTCCAGATGACAGAGCAGTACTCCAAGATTGGTCGGGCTCGAGATTTGTACAGCGTGACCAGTGCCAAGGGAGACTTTAGAGATCTTGTAGAGAGTTGAATAAACCCCAGAAGAGAAGATACTCTTGAGGATATATGGATCAGGTGATCATGTGGGCTGAGTGAAGGGACAGTGATTACACCAAGATCCCTGAATTTATCGACCACGCTGTCGATGCAATAGTCATACTCATGAACTAAGTTACTGCGACTGAGAAACATAGCTACAATTAATGGAGACATTGAGCTCCATTGCATTTAAGATGCACCATTTATTTGCTGATTTTAATCGAGTGTTGGAGCATTTCTTGGTTATGTGTGGAGGTTTCTTTGTTGAACAACTTAATGTCGTCAGCAAATAAGAGAAATTTCGTTTTAATTTCTGGGAAGATGACGTTTATAAATCTGGTAGTTTCTTTTGATCTTTTAATTTATATTTAAATAATAAAAAAAACAATTAAACTGTAAAGATTGTTAGGGAAAAGTGTCCCAAAGCTGAAGCGACACCTCAACCCAATCATAGATTAAACATACTCAAAGGGAGTATGTTAATCTATGCCATAATAAACTCAGAGAGGGATAAGTGGTCCGACGTCACGTTTTTTAATTCCGTAACCTGTTGACAACGAAATGTTTTGCCTTCGGAAGTGATAGAAACATTACTCTTGAATCTTTCAAACCAAGTTTCCAGAACATATATTTTTTTACTATAAAATTGAAAACTTATGATGAACTTTATGTCTAAGGATATAGGAATATGATACTGTAAAAATAACATTATAAATGAGCTTACTTATTATATTTATATACTCACTTTCACATTGGGCCAGCCATGGGATCCAATTACCATTAAAACAAGCAGCAACGAGCTTGGTTGTATTTAGCTTGTAGCCAGGGTTACAGCTAAAGTAGATTACCCAGTTTGGAGGAACGTAGGCTCCAGGTATCATCTGACAAGCCGGGGTTGTATCTCCAGTACGGCATCTCTTACTGCTGGGGGAGTAGCGGCCGTTCTGTAACTGGTCAGGGATCGTACACCAGCCTCCTTGTACCTGCCTGATATACACAACAGTCAGAACATACAGTTACAGTAGATGACTCAGTCTGTAGGAACGTAGGCTCCAGGTATCATCTGACAAGCCGGGGTTGTATCTCCAGTACGGCATCTCTTACTGCTGGGGGAGTAACGTCCGTTCTGTAACTGGTCAGGGATCGTACACCAGCCTCCTTGTACCTGTCTGATATACACAACAGTCAGTACATACAGTTACAGTAGATGACTCAGTATATAGGAACGTAGGCTCCAGGTATCATCTGACAAGCCGGGGTTGTATCTCCAGTACGGCATCTCTTACTGCTGGGGGAGTAGCGGCCGTTCTGTAACTGGTCAGGGATCGTACACCAGCCTCCTTGTACCTGTCTGATATACACAACAGTCAGAACATACAGTTACAGTAGATGACTCAGACTGTAGGAACGTAGGCTCCAGTTATCATCTGACAAGCCGGGGTTGTATCTCCAGTACGGCATCTCTTACTGCTGGGGGAGTAGCGGCCGTTCTGTAACTGGTCAGGGATCGTACACCAGCCTCCTTGTACCTGTCTGATATACACAACAGTCAGAACATACAGTTACAGTAGATGACTCAGACTGTAGGAACGTAGGCTCCAGGTATCATCTGACAAGCCGGGGTTGTATCTCCAGTACGGCATCTGTTTCTGCTGGGGGAGTAGCGGCCGTTCTGTAACTGGTCAGGGATCGTACACCAGCCTCCTTGTACCTGCCTGATATACACAACAGTCAGAACATACAGTTACAGTAGATGACTCAGTATGTAGGAACGTAGGCTCCAGGTATCATCTGACAAGCCGGGGTTGTATCTCCAGTACGACATCTGTTTCTGCTGGGGGAGTAGCGGCCGTTCTGTAACTGGTCAGGGATCGTACACCAGCCTCCTTGTACCTGCCTGATATACACAACAGTCAGTACATACAGTTACATTAGATGACTCAGTCTGTATGAACGTAGGCTCCAGGTATCATCTGACAAGCCGGGTTTGTATCTTCAGTACGGCATTAGTGTCTGTTGGGGGAGTAGTGGCTGTTCAGTAACTGTTCAGGGATCGTAAACCGGGCTCCTTGTACCTGCCTGATATACACAACAGTCAGAACATACAGTTACAGTATATGACTCAGTCTGTAGGAACGTAGGCTCCAGGTATCATCTGACAAGCTGGGGTTGTATCTCCAGTACGGCATTTGTTTCTGTTGGGGGAGTAGTGGCTGTTCTGTAACTGGTCAGGGTTCGTACACCAGCCTCCTTGTACCTGCCTGATATACACAACAGTCAGTACATACAGTTACAGTAGATGACTCAGTCTGTAGAAACGTAGGCTCCAGGTATCATCTGACAAGCTGGGGTTGTATCTCCAGTTCGGCATTTGTGTCTGTTGAGGGAGTAGTGGCTGTTCTGTAACTGGTCAGGGTTCGTACACCAGTATTTTAGTTGCTATTTAAGGAAACTTATGCTACAAACATTTCCTCACTTGGTTGAAATTAAATATTTAAATACTATTTGAATTTTTGTTGGCGTAAACATTACAATGGAAAAAAGGAACGTAGGCTCCAGGTATCATCTGACAAGCTGGGGTTGTATCTCCAGTACGGTATTTGTTTCTGTTGGGGGAGTAGTGGCTGTTCTGTAACTGGTCAGGGTTCGTACACCAGCCTCCTTGTACCTGCCTGATATACACAACAGTCAGTACATACAGTTACAGTAGATGACTCAGTCTGTAGAAACGTAGGCTCCAGGTATCATCTGACAAGCTGGGGTTGTATCTCCAGTTCGGCATTTGTGTCTGTTGAGGGAGTAGTGGCTGTTCTGTAACTGGTCAGGGTTCGTACACCAGTATTTTAGTTGCTATTTAAGGAAACTTATGCTACAAACATTTCCTCACTTGGTTGAAATTAAATATTTAAATACTATTTGAATTTTTGTTGGCGTAAACATTACAATGGAAAAAAGCGAGAAAGCCTGGACAATTTGATTTACTAAAAAGAAAACTGAATTAACACTGTGCTGCATCTCTTGAGCAATCATTGAAAGAGCCAATTTGCCAACTATGGAAACATATGAAAGTCATTAAAAACCACCAAGTTAAAAAATAGGGATAATGTTGTTTTAGAATTATTTATAATCGTTATTATAGACAACCTAATGCTGCTATGAGTGGGAAACATTTGTAGAAAACACTAAAAACAAGATCCAGCTTTTGAAAAATGATAGTATTTATAAGAAATGTTGATTATATCCAACTGTTATGTACATCGTGAGTATTTCCGTATCATTGAATCGACTATTTTTAAGTCATGTGAAATTATGACTGATATTCGTTTTAAAATAACGCCTGTAATACTTTGCAATTGCTCGAATTCGAGCAACAGGTACACTAGTATTTTTTAAAATTATGACCAAGACAACTTTATTGCATGGTTTATTACCTGACGGTTTTCCGAACATAAATGACCGCTGACGTTAATCTTCCATTCTCAGACTGAGGAGGACGACCGTTTGAATCGCCTTCAACTGAAAATACATATGTTTTAGAAGCCTAAAAAAAGATATATAGAATGGATTATAAGCTGCATGTAGAATTATAGACAACGAAGGGACCCGTTTAATAGGGTTCAAAACATATTTACAAAACAAAACGAATAATGCGATAACATTTTACTTGTGCAAGATTTTGTTTGTGTAAGACAGAGATTTAGTAAACAAAACATCTAAATTACAATTAATTTATGTAATTTCTTGACTTTAAATCTACACTAAAAAGCCTCAATCAGGTTTCATGTATAAAAAGGTTGCCTATTTATTTATAGATACATTTTTATAAACGGGATTTTCTCTGGCTTACAATTGGTGTGTAATTAAAAGTGTTAACTAGAGGATTGGCTTTATACATTTAAATTAACGTGTAAAAAGAAAGTATTTTCGAATAAATGTAGTCTCAATGGTGAGTGGAATAAGGAGAAACGTTAGTAGGTTTTATAATTAACACAGCGTTATAAAAATAGAAACAAACAGCAAACAAACATCAGATAAAATATTATGGTTCGTAAAAACAAATACAAACAACACTGTGAATTTTAAGGGTATATCAAATATTGCAACTTAACCCTTACAAACCCTCGCAGAAGCTCGAAGAATGAAAATAACTAGCAAAGGAAAATCAGAACTGTTGCCACAACAAAACATTAACTATCAACAATCTGATTGTATAGTGTAAAAAAGTCGCCATTGACTATAAATATATGAATTCATCACTTACCACTTAGGGTTCTTGATGAAAGACACACAATCAAGGAAATAATAGCACATACGTTTCCTAGTGTCATAACTAACACAGACAATTTACACAGATTTTAGATTTCACAAACGTCACTGAAAGGTATCAAAACTATTAAGTATCATTGACTATAATCAATCATCACGCCGGGGAATAGAAAGAGTATATTATACAGATAGCTTCGTGATACTGTCCTTGCTATTTACATGGCGAACTATTTGGTTTTTCCAACATGCAGAGAACAGAAGTGACCTCTGCCGACTACCAGCAGACTGGCTCTGGTCTGGACCAGTTGATTGGACTACCAGCTGCTGTGATAACTTGTGGTTGACCCTGACCATGACTCAAGCCTGACGTGCCTTGTGGGTTTAGCCAATTAGAGTTAATAAGACAAAATTAAATTTACTTATCACATTTATGATAGAAACTGTTCTCAGCCAGTTTTCCTCGTTTAACAGACGTATTTCCGCAAGTTTTTCTGCAGCAGAATGTTACATAATTTATTGTTGAAAGTGACTCTCAAAAACTTTGTTAGTACTTCAGTTGGTATTTTTAGTTAGACAATTTGGATACCATGACCAAAGCTGTTGTTATCCTATTATAATGTCCATATAAGATATTTTACTGCCTCACCAGAAAATAACGGGTAGTCCATGGTTTTTAAACAGATGTTACTCAGATGATGTTTTGTGTAAAAAAGTTGATGTTTGCGATATACAACAACATAGAGTATGTTATTTCATGAATCGTGTATCGTTGGACAATACAACATCGTGCCTTTTGCGTAAAAGTTCATTAAAAAAACAAATAGTTTGAGTATGTCGTGTCACCATTGCGCGGTTTTACTATCTTGAGGTGGGTGTTTAATTCAAGAACTAAGGGATCCCAAACCTCCTGGGTTGTCAAACTCTGAACACAAATAAGGACACGTCTTTTAAAATGTACGAGAATCACGTTCTCCAACGTACAAAAAGATCAGCAATAAAATATTCTGTTCCTTTACCAGATATATATGCATATGACTTCTGGATGGTAGGCTACAGTTCCTTAAAAGCAGTCTATCCCAGAAAACCTTAAACGATTCGATATCTAAAGTACAGTATCATCGCTGAAATCTCTACAATGAACCCTTGTGTTCGCGAATTTCCAATGAGTCGATGCTTATAGACATCGGTGGAGGTGGTTTGGAAGATATTTTTTATGTATGAACTCGGCGTACAATTATGTGTAATTTAGCTGTATTAATAAAGTAATATTGTTGTTTCTATAACGCTACTTCATTTTAAAATCGTCCGTTATTTATGGACCACCCGTTAGTTAAAAGTAACTCGCTGTGTATCGGTAAAATAAAATATCTTGAGGAAGCAATAAAATATAACGTTTTACGAAACCGGTTCGGTTGATATGAAATATTTACAAAGTCAGCTTACTCAGGAAATATTTCACACGGTTCGGCAATATAACGGTGTGAATAAACACACGATTCGTTCAGTTAGATAAACCTAAGTTGAACCCTCTTAGGATACAACTAAACTAAATTTTTTGGTTTGGTCCAAAACGCTTTGTAAAAAATATCATCACCACTCTATTACAATACTAGTGAAAATATACACAAGGTAAAAATCTTTAATTTGAATAGTCGGTACGCTATATCTGGTTGAAAATCAATTATGTTACAACCAGAGACTTGAAGCAGCTACACGATACGTCTGTCAATAAATAACCTTGCCTTCCTAAACTACTTATAAAATGCCTTGCAGAAAACAAGTTACGTACCGAATCCGCTAACCTTCTAAGCAGACAAAACTGAAATCACAACTTGTATAGCATGCTGTATCGGAAGTATAAATGAAGGCGAAACTGAACCAAACCTATAATGTACTGAATACTGGATAACATATCTACTAGAGCCATGTTAATTTGCTAATTAGCTATAACACAGTATAGAGTGGTACAGTGATATATTTAGCTAACTAGTGAACCTGTGCGGCTCAATGCCCCGCAAAAACTTATGAATTTAGAAAACAAATTCATCGTGTTATATATTGACTCGACGTCGAAAATTAAATACAGTAATAACAATACATTAGAAGGGAAGCAGTCCAGCCATTTTCTAGCTGTATGCATATTATATTTAGTAAATTAATAAAGTGTTCAAGTTCAAGTATGTTATAGGGTAGTTATTTTGTTAAAGATTTCTAAAACACATGTAACAAAACATTTTATCATATCAAACCAATAGGCTTATGTAGCATATTTTGAGTGTCATAAAATGCTGCTTGAAGAAAACACTTTTAAAAATAAACACTAAAAAACAATATTTTTATCACAAAAGCACTTCCATGAATACTACGATTTTTGTCTTAAAGTTACCTTCAGGAATATTACCCTGGTCGGAATTTTCCGTAATGAATATGCGTGTCCTATTAAAAGATGTAGCCAGGGGTGCCCATCCCCCTCTAGACTCATGACGCAACCCCCCCCCGCAATTGAGCAACAGCCCCCCCCCATAAATGATGTACACAACAAATTAGAAACATTATTCCCCCGCCCAGCACTATTTGTAAAACTATAAAAGAAGTTTTATAATTTTTTTAGATATTTAAAATTCAAACCCAGTTAATCTATATCAATAAAGTTATAGTTTTGTCTGAAAATTGCTCAGAATTGTACATAATTTGGGATATTTATGTTTTATACATTGAAGAAGTTGAAACATGTCTTATCTCAATTTATGTCCGTCTGTCGTCACGGCCCAGAATGCATTTTATGCAGCCTACTCATGGCCTACTCTAAAGAAAACTAGAGTACCGATTATGATTCTAATGGTTTAATTGTATCCACAAGATTGGCGAGAGAGTCCTTATAGCCATTAAAATATGGCCTCACTATTTTGGAAATAAAATAACGGACGATCAAAAACACAATTTTGTGTGATTTTTCAAGTTTATTTTCTCCATGTTTACTACATACGTCATTAATTTATGAAATACTAATAATCTGTTATGAGAACACGTCATGTATGAAATTATGAGCAGCTGTTTTGATAAAGATTCCTTTTCCTAGCTGTCACTGATATGTTTACATAAATGTTCTTTAAGAATACTGTGTAGGCCCTAACCATTTCCGATCACGTTTGTAAGCAAATCCAAAACCAAGTGAGATTAATAACCGTGTGGCTTTGGCTTACATAACGGGTTTGATTTATCACGAGTACTAATATGTAACTGTAAATTAAATGAAATAACTAGCCATCATCCAGGTCGGGAACCGGAGATTCTGTTTGTATCAAGTTGTACTTGAATTTTGATTACAGGGAAAAGACCGTGAATCAGTGTTGTACAGGACTGGAAAACTTATCTTTCTATATAAATAAAATTAGAGTTTCATAAATCACCTCAATTTAAGGAATTTTTTATTGCCAGAATATCCATACAGCGTTCGTAACCTGCTTAACGAATTGTCAGCGTCTTTCTCGATATTACGATCCCCTCTCCCTCCCTTTAGAAACATCACAGCTCCTTTGATGAAAATGAAATGGAAACAACGCTTGCGCCAACAATCGTCTGCTCCGTACACTTCTGTCTGCTGTGCGCTATGTTACAACAGATTTCAGATACAACAGCTCTAGGGAATGATGACGATATAATGCTTAGTACACTGTGATTGAGTGATAACCATGGTAACTTTAGTAAGGCTGTGATTGGCCAATGAGTAGACCTAAATATGGCGACTTGTTGAATTCGTGTATGAATTGAAGAGAAACCTATTAAAGAACAGAAGAACAAAGAAAGAGAATAACAAGATTGTTCTCGTTACATTCTTTTTTAAGAGTGTTTTAATTATCTCTCAATATAATTTTACAATTTTTTATTACTTATCTATCAATTCCTATGCTGTGTTACAGCACCTATCGGTAGCCTATCCGTCTATCATGAGCAGTACCTTATAACACTTTCTAAAGGTTCCTTTAATAATTTACGTTATTTATAGCAATACAATGTTTGGCTAGTGATTAGTTGAGTTTGAGTTAGCTACAATTTTAAACGTTGCCGTTTGTACAACTGAACCAAGATAAATGATTTGAAATTTACAATAATTAGTACAGGAAAAATACTAAATAAAAATGAAAAAATTAGTTCAGGGATGAAACTTTGGTTTTAACTTCATTTTACCAATAGAAGTCAAGATCCGATGAGTCCCTAACAGTCCCGATGGGGGAACATGGTTTTTAGGGGGTGGGGAGGGGGAATTTTGATATAATTCATTATTCACGATTTGAAGTCATTTAGGAAGTCGTTTTTAAGGTTTGTATACACAGTGAATCGATAGGAACCATATTTAGGTCGATAGAACCACCTCCATAAGAGATTTAGCATATTGATACATGTTTAGTATTTATTTCTTTTAGTAAGGGTGGGGGGAATTTGAAATAATTTTTGATTTTTGACTTATGACTTGTTGGGTGTGGTTTTCAATGGATTTCTACATGCCAAATAGAATGGAACCACTATTTTGTCGATATAACTACATTATTAACAGATTTGGAGTGTTATCTGAAATAAAATAAATGTTTGTGCACAAAATTAATTATTTAATATTTAAACATAAAAAATAAACAATTAACTTAACATCAAGTATTAATTGAATGAGTTTATTTTACAATAAATTTAATTTTTCCTATTATAATAAAATACCCCCTCGCAGCAAACCTGCAGACCGAGCAAATTTTCATTTACCTGACAGGATTACTATTAATTTTCTATTTAAATAACATTAATTTTAATGAGTCATTAGGTTTGCTGCTACAGGGGAAGTAATAGGGGTTGTTTTTATTGAAATGTTGATAGCTTAGTATAAAATAAACAAAATTGCCAAGTTTGGTTTAAATTTAAATATATCCACAAACAAGCGAACTACAACAGTTTATTTATTTTCCATTAGAATAACATGGGAATTTTAAATTTACATTTTTTTAAATTATCTCCTTAAACTTACAGGATAAGAATCCTTTACTTTAATTTTTACGGAAATTAAATAAAAATAAACGTAAATAAAAAGAAACTTATTTAATTAAAAAAAATTAAAGTACTTTTTTACAATGTGATGATAGAATGGAAATTTTTACAGTGCATGGTTTGTATATTTTTAAAACTATTCAGCATGTTTATAAAGATAAAAACACTGAATTATCCAATAAATACAACACAAGGTGGAAAAATCTTACAGTAAAAAGTCATCATCGGCTGAAACTTTC